GGTCATTTTACTTCTCCCTTTCCAATCTGGATGCCTTTCATTTCTTTTTCTTGCCTGATTGTTCTGGCTGGGACTCCTGGTTCTGTTGAGAGGCAGTGGCAAGAGTGGGTACCCTGCCTCCTTCTCAATCTTATGGGACAAGCTCTTCATCTTTCACTATAGAGTATGATGTTTGCTGTGGGTGGTTTAGATTATTTTTTCTTTTTTGAGACAGAGTCACTCTCTCACCCTGGGTAGAGTGGTGTGGTATCACAGCTCACAGCAGCCTCAGACTCTTGAGCTGAAGTGATCCTTTTGTGTCAGCCTCCCAAGTAGCTGGAATACAGCCACCTGCCACAACGCCCGCCAGGTTTTCTATTTTTAATAGAGATGTGGTCTTGCTTTTTCTCAGGCTGGTCATTACAGAAAAATACAAATCGCTCCAGATCCCACTACCCAGAAAGAATCCTTGCCTACATGAAACAGCTGTCATCCAGCCAGCAGAACTCTAGTGAGAAGGGCTGTTGCACATGGGCCTGGTGGCTCACGCCTGTAGTCCCAGCACTTTGGGAGGCCGAGCTGGGAGGGCTGCTTGAAGCTGGAGTTCAAAACTAGCTTCTGCAACTAAGTGAAACCCTGTGCCTGCAGAAAATGAGAATAAGCTAAAAGTGATGGCACATGCCTGTCGTCCAGCTACTTGGGAGGATGAGGCAGGAGGATCACTTGAGCTCAGGAGCTGGAGGCTGCAGTGAGCTGTGCTGATGGCACTCCTGCCTGGGCGACAGAGCCAGACCCTGTGTGGAGTCCATCTGCAGTCTTAGCCATAGCCTTGTCGGGAGAAAAAGACACTGAATTGGAACTGAAGGAGTTTCTTAATTTGAGATCAATATTTATTGGTGTAAGAGGTATGATACCTGTAAAGTTCTTCTCAGGATAAGAAAAGTTTTTAAAGCTTTATGAATTCAGAGTTTAAAAACAAATTTAATACATGTTTCATGAGTGGGCTACTTTGACAAGGCAGTGCTTTTTTATTATTATTATTAAATCATATTAAGTATACAGTATACATGTCTTAAGGCAGTGCTGTTCTCATGCAGGCTCTCGCCTCCTGGCCTTGCACTGAACTTGGAGATGTCATCATGTGGGTTTTGTCAGTGTTCACAGTAGTTACGACCTGAGGCATCTCTCTGCCCCTCTTCAGCCCCCAGATCTGTGCTGTGTACAGTGTTGTGGACTTTCTGTCCCTGAGTCCTGTGGTGTCCTCTGTCACCGAGCCTTGCCTGGTGCCTGCAGAACTCTTCTTTCTGGAAGTTGGGGTTTCTTTTGCTGCCAGTCTCTGTGGGGAGCACTATCCCCTTCCCAGGACCAGGCACTTAGCCTTCCCTCCCAGGCATTCTGTGGTGCTAGTCTGTGCTTCCGCATAGCTTCTCAGCCTGGTCTGTGGGTCCCTCCCTCATCAGGGACCCGAGGTCCCTCCTGCTCTAGGCTGCTGCCCTGTATTTCCATGACCTCTCTGGTCTGTCACTTCCCTTGCTGTCCACTCTCCTGCAGGGAGGCGTGAGTCCAGGCTCTGCTGTCTGTCTGTCACTGCTGCTGGGGACTGCCTCTCCCCTCGCCCTTTTCATTACTGTTAGTTTTGGGGAAGAGGACCTGGTCTTTCCTTGGACACCTTTGCCAACTGTACTGGTTGGAAAGTGTTTCTTGTCACGTTGACTTGTAAAGCCGTTCTGCCAGTGCCTAGGCACCATGGTGTGTTGGGCTGGGACCTGGAATGTTCCATTCCTGACTACAGTGCCTGAGGTAGCCAGGGTGTGTGCTGGGGCTGAGAGACCTGCAGGGCGGTGTGCATGAGTGTGCCCTGGGAGACCTGCAGGATGGTGTGCACATTCTGAGTGTGCCCTGGGAGACCTGCAGGGTGGTGTGCACATTCTGAGTGTGCCCTGGGAGACCTGCAGGG